TTCATTGGAGGAATTTGCGTGGAGTCGCTCACCAGATTCCGGTATTTGCCCGTAAAGCCCCCTTTCTCAGCCACAAGGGGACTCCGAAGAGTTTTGATGCGAAGACCTTGGTTGAGGATTTTTCAACCCCCCTCTTCCTTGTCATGATTCCCAGTAAAGCTGATTGATGATGGACATTTGTATCCTAGGTTTACGAAGCCGCATATGGAGCCAAGGCGCGGGATACCCGAATAACCCTAGAATCTGCCGGAAAATCGTCCGGCGCACGTCAGGAACCTCCAAAGCCCCGTGTGAATAGCGTCTCGAGTAGGGTGGCTGGATCGAGCAGACTAGACCTGTAAGAAACATCAAGTCCGAAGGGCGTGGAAGTTGGCGGAGCGGGCACGCACTGCATGCCATACCTCACATGGTCATTCTCTGGCGCCTCCCCAACCGCAGGACTGAGCAGGTTTCGCGGCGAATAGCACGAGTTCCCGGACAAGGAAGTTCCTAGATGACACTCCTGAAACTCTAAATCGTGGGTTGCGAGCCTCTAGACATTCGCCACTCTGAACGCCGGCATGAGATACGCGGTCAGCTTTGTCCGCACAATCAGCGGGCTCGCCCGCAAGGGACCTCTCTTATGGTACGATGAGGGCCGAGAGTGAGCTTCAAGGCAAGCCTAAGGAGTATGTGGGCTGGATAGAGGGGGTGATGCCATCCCCAACATGATTATGGGTATCCAGTTGGTCCCCCGAGATTTTCTGCGGACGTTTGCAAACGCAACATCTGTCTTGCCCTCGTCCTGGTTTCCTGGGTTGTAATGCCTGCTTTCGGACGAATTCTCGGGCTTACCCCCTACTGTTCCCTCGTCATCTCGTCCAAGGATTTGTTCATGGTAGCATCAAGACAGCCGGAGTTGGAGGGTCGCTTTGACTCGTGACCCCAGCAGGAACAGCCCTGTCCAAGTTGCTCTTTATTTCGCTGTCTCGAGTCTCCTGTCAAGCAATATGGCAGGACACCTCTTATTACAACTGGACATCTAAACTCTTAGCATCGGTTTTCCAAGTTATCGGGAAGGTTATCGAGAGATTTCCCTAGCTATTGCTACCCTCGCCGACAAAGATGCCAACGTACATTGTTACTCGGCAAGACTCCGAGTGTCTGCCAAGCTGACATGTTGATTGCACAGACTAGGCATGCAAGTCATACTCCCCAAACTGAACTATACGAAACCATATCACTAGTCAAGGCCTTGGTACGGTATGCCTCGGCCCATGTACTCATGCTTCGCCATTGAGGAGGTTGATTTGGTTAGGCCACATGCCCGATAGGTTCTGAACTTAACATCAGGAGATCACATCGTTCGCCAAGGCTTGGCCGTAAGATTCCGGAAGATCAGATTGTCGATCCAGTCAGCTACGTGTTCCCTTGATGCCAGCAAGACAAAACGAGCTGCCTATTTGGATCGAAAGAATCGACTAACGATCTATAGTTGCGTCTCTTGTGTCTTGTAGATCTCGTTGTACCCTTCAAGGGATGCCTTTTCCAGAGTCGCCAAATCGCCGCCCTTGAATCGTTCGGGGTCCAACGCCCTCCGAACTGCCTCGTCGCCATCAATACCTTCAATCCCATCAATAACTCTGGTCAGGAACTTGGCCGTCCCCGCAGCGTGCGTCACCCACACGGCAACGGCCATGTACAAGCCTCTGATCGACTGCACGGCTCCCGCCAGGGGCATGTTGTCGGGCGTCATGGAGAAGATGCCGTTGAATTTGACGCCAGCCCGCAGCTGCTTTGACGCCTCGTCCGGCACAAGGCTCGTGGCCGCCGTCAGGGGCGCGTCGAACCCTTGAACCCAGTCGCCGATCGCCGTGCCGTTCGTGAGCTTGCACTCAAGCGGCTGGTGGTCGTACGTGCCAAGGCCGTAACGATCCCCGTGATCGCGCGCATAGACGTGGTGTTCTGGCCAGCGCACAAACGGCATCTTTCTGCCGAGCGCTGGTCTAGGCTCGCCGTGCAGATACGGGTGTCCGACTGGCACCACGGGGACGACTGGCAGCGGAGATCCATCCGCAATCTGGTGGTCGTGTTGCTGCTGCTGGTGTTGTTGTTCACGCGCCAACAGCGCCTGCGCCCAGACGCCGGTTGCCAAGATGACAACATCGGCGATTAGCTGCCGGCTGGAGGAGACGTCTCCCAGCTCGACACCGGTCGTGCGGCCGTCGGCGATCATCAGGCGGCGGACCTCAGCCTCGACGAACTGCGCGCCGTTCGCCTTAGCGCTGTGCTGGAAATAAGCGGTGATGCAGTTGGCGTCGGCTGTCCCGTCACTGGAGAAGCTAAGGGCGGCCCCGGACTCGGTGTCTGATGATCGTACCAGGTCCGGAGCCATCTGACTCGCCTGACGCACGCTCATCAGCTGAGCAGGCAGACCGAGGGGCTGCTGCCTTGCTTTGTCTTGATCTCAGCCGCTCGACGCCGGAGGTGCTGTGCGCGACCTCGAGACCGCCGACGGCGTCGAAACCACCGGGGATCTTACGATATTCCGACACGGTGGCCATGGCGAGGCGCGTGAGAACCTCGGAGTCATTGAACTGGCCTATGAATCCCGGCGCGTGGCCGGTCGACCCTACGAGCGGGCTGAGAGATCGGTCCACCACGGTGATCTGGCGATTGACATTTGAGATACACAAGAAGTGGGCCAAAGCGGACCCAACGATGCCCCCTCCGACGATCACCACAGTCTGGGGTGGTTTGATGTCCGACATGGCAAGCAGGCAAGGGAAGATGGAAGGACAGTATGCGTAGTCTGATGTTGATGAGCGACTCTATGCTGCGAGCTGGCAGCGTATGGCAATTTCGTAATGCTCGATTGTCGAAGATGGATGCAGCCTTGATGGTGGTTCAGTTGCGTCTAAGGCCATACTATATTGACATCGCTATAGCCCCACGGCCGTGCTCACACCGTTCAAGACCCGCCTAACTGTCGTACCAAGGGCGCGCCCCTCGTCTACACTTGAGTCATTTCTTGATCGGTCGGAGGGCGCACCATGTGCGTTTTCAACTACACGATCCATCGTGTCTTCTTAGATACGGACACGGGTCACTCAAGTGGTCGACTTTAGGCGAGTCCGACAAAGGCTCGTTTGTCTCACCGAGTGAAAACAATGGGTAGACGTTGTGTATGTCGATTGGAATCGCCAAGCAACTACTGTAATCCCAGCAGCGGGCTGTGGGGCGTTGGAATGAGGCGGCTTATGTCGAATCTGAATTGGAGCAGCAAATGTTTATCTGTACGTTCAGATGTCTAATTGCTTCAAAAAGTGACTGCTCTGGTGTAGCAGATTGCATTTAGGGTTTGGCCAGGTGGACGAAAGTCTAATAAGCTTCGAGGCTGAACATTCCTAGTTATTGTAATCTGCATTCTGAGTCAAACGATTCGGAAATGCGATTGTGTCCTCTAAGCGAAGTAGAGTACCTACGTGAATTCACTTCCAGTGCGAACGGCCTTGATGATGCATCGAATGATAAAAAATTCGCGAGTGCCACATCAGCCGCAAGCCAGATTGTTTTTGTCGGGAATGATGGCTAACGACACTGGCTGTAGTCGACATCAGAGGGGCACAGATTCAGCCGTGCACAAACTGATCACCGTCGCTGCTCCCTCAACCTCAGACGCCGTTGAGTATCTTGGAACTTTTAGGAAAAAGAACCCATAACATATAGGTAGACCCTTGAAGCGAGTCGATTAGTACTCGCGCATGGTTGTACGATTGATGACCCTAGGAAATCGTGCTTATGAAGACACCATCCGCATCTGCCGTTGGAGGAAAGCAACAGACAAACTGGTGGTTACAGCGTGGTTGCGATTGAAATGGAGAGGAGAGGGACCAAAGAACACTACTTTCGAGGACCATCCTTTGACGGGACAGCTCGAGCCGCACAGAATATGAAAGCCTTGCTAATGCCATCAAGCCATGGTGCAAACATGTGCCATTAGTGAGTGATGCGAAAACGATCTCCCTCGCAGGCCAGTAGCTTCCGTTTTCTTGTTATTCAGAACAGAGCTATCAATCTCAAGCCCGACGCCGCTCGCAGGAGAAAGATCTACACATGCGACCGTGGTCATCTACCTTCCAAGACTCACTACCAACCCCCGCGACGGCGTACAAAAGCCCCTCGGGGTCAAGGTTATTCTTGATTCGAAGCAGTTCAGGGTAATTCTCTCCGAAGAAAGTCTCTTGCCAGTCAGGCTGCTGAAAGTCTGCCTCATTCATGTAGGCCCCGGCTCCGGGTGTGACAGCCTCAATGACAGGCTGCACCTCGTTCGTGATGCGATCCTGAAGTGCAACCATCTCTTCAAAGGGGGCCTCAAAATCCCAAGGCAGAGTCAGGGAGACCTGCACGATAGAGTCCCGCCACTGGGGCAGGACGGCGTTGATGTTGTTCTTCCCAAACGGCGAAACGTCCAGACCAACGCCAATGAAGACGACTCCGAGCTCTACGAGCTTTCTGGTTGTAGGCGCGAAGTCTGGTAGGACTTTGCGAGGCAGCAGTCGACCGCCGAAGAGGTCAGTCCCTACTTGAATGTTGCCCGAGGGCAGCGGGCCCCAGTAGTGGTCGTAATGGTCGGCGTAGCTGCTGAACTCAGTGTACGCCACTTCGAGTTCGATACCGAGCCTAGCGAGAGAAGTGCTGAACGGCGCCAGAATCTGCTCGGTCTCCTCCCGTTTCTTGTCGTATGCAGTGATGGCTGCAACCTGGAAGAAGCCTGGACCGAAGAAGTAAATGACCATGATACCCGCGTCGACAATGTCGGGCAGTGCAGCATGGAACGCGTCTACGACATCGTACAGAAGCTCCGATTGATTTGACGGAATGGCCACTGCAAAACGAGCGCCGCTGACTTTGGCGTCAGGATGAGCTCGGACAACCATCGATACCACGACGCCAAAGACGCCGCCGCCGCTACCACTCAGTGCCCAGTACAGGTCTTGGTTTTCGGAGCTCGAAGCGGTTACCAATTCTCCCGAGGGAGTCACCACGTCGAAAGATAGCGCATTGTCCGCCGCTAGACCGAAGACTGAGCTCAGGGCAGAGTGTCCTCCGCCCTGGGTGTAAGCGCCCGCAAGACCAACCGTGGGGCATTCTCCGGTTACAATCGTGAGACCCTCGCGACGGGCGACTTCAATGGCCTCAAACCCTTGAACCCCGGCGCCTAGCTTCAGGGCCTTGCCGGCGTACTGGCCATCGTCCCAATCGATAATCTCCGTGTCTTTGAGGTGATGCATCCAAACGGATAAAGCGCCAGCTCCGGTTGACCGGCCGTGGTAGTCGTGTCCCGTGTTCCTGATTACGAACCTAACGTTCTTTTCTTCGGCAAACTTCAGCGCAGCGATGATATCTTGAGGCCCTGAAGCATCCACGGCGTACACCACATAGTTTCCCAGCTCACATGGAGCATCTCGCGCCTGGAAGGGATCGCAGCTCTGGTTGGCGAACAAAGGCGCCATCACTGATGAGGATGATTGAGAACTGGCATATAGGTTAGTCTCATGGATGGGCACACCCTTCTCAAATTCACGACCGACGGGTGCACAAACTCACTGGACCGTAGAGAAACGCCACTCCTCTCGGAGACGAGCGCATTCTGCTTCGTCATAGTCCTTCCCGTGACATGCATTAGCCAGGGGCACTGTTGCAATCAGTCTACCCCCGACTGTTTCGTTCAGTCGGTTCCATTCTGAGTCTACAGGCCAGCATGTATCCCCAGGAAGGCATTTGCAAGAGCTTTCAGAAAAGAGACGCCGTGATGAAAGTTGAAGCCCCGATCCAGCGACAACACCAACACACAGGGCGTATCCGATCAAGATGAACTGCATTTCGGCTCAATCAGCAGAACATGTCGTCCTATGTTTTCGGTAAACTGGATTGTGATCAAGCAGGTTGGAAAGAAACAATCTTGATTCTCTTCGCCAAGATTTCGGGTTAGGATCGGCAGCAAAGATCCTGGGCTGATCCTTCATACATGTACGCGTATCTCGCCCTGTAGGAGGCCTGGCATGTAGGCTAGGGGTGAGACGACAGCTGGCAAGGCCTTGGCCCTCAGTGGATTCGTGCACGTCGTGGTGAGCACACCGCTTGAGGAGCGTCAATCATCTCCTAAACAGCACAAAACTCCGGCTTTGGCGGCGGAATCATTTAGATTCAGCCATCATGTGCCTCGCCACAGCGGTCCCGCCTCAGACAAGAATCAGTGACGACCACCGACCTTTCAGACCAGAGAGACTTTGAGTCGCGGTCATGCAAGAAACGTGCAAACGAAATCTCAATTAGACAGGCCAAATACGGTATTCGAAGAACAGGAGACGGTCCACAGATGTTGCCAACCAATTTTGGGCAGCAGGACCAAACATTCTTAGAGTGCGACCCTCATGAACTTCTGTCGCTTACATGAACTCACTTCACACCAGTGCCCTTGCCTCAGAAACCCCCGTTCGGATGGATGAGAACCTTCGTGTATCCATCGATTCTCTTGTCGAACTTCTGATAGGCAACTTCAACGTCATCGATACCAATCTCATGAGATACAACGAAGCTCGGCTTTGCCTTGCCTGCAACAATGAGATCTCTGAGGTAGCGGTTGTAATGTTTGACGTTGCATTGCCCGGTGGAAAGACTCAGGCCCTAATTTTTGTTAGCTGGGATTGACTACTACCCGCCATCTCTTCTGACTTACCTTCTCAAACAGCTTTCCGAAGCTAAGGCTGATCATGCCCTTGCCTGATGCATCATCAGGTGCGCCAGGATCACTACGAAACTCTTCGTCAGCGGTCATTTCAGCGCTGTTGTCGAAGCATGGCATACCTGGGCACGTAAAGTCCGGGAATTCCCATCCCACCGCAAGCCCTGGTGACGCGAATCATGCTCTCGAGAACGATATTCGGCTGCTCCTTCGAGCCGCCTTTGTCTACCGCTTGGTAGCCGACAGCGTCCACGGACCGATCGACCATGCCATCGTTCGCCTTGATGATTTGATCCACTGGATCACTGGAGCTGAAGTCAATGGGCACGCATCCGATATTTTCCGCTGCCTTCAGGCGCTCGGGAACACGATCGACGACATATACGCGTGAGGCACCACGCAGTACGGCAGAGTAAGCCGCCATTAGCCCGACGGGCCCAGCGCCGAAGACTGCAATGCTCTCGCCGGGCTTGAAGCCGGATAGTTCAACCCCATGCCAGCCTGGCCATGTCAGCACGAATAAATGCAGATTGGTGGCTTCAGTTGCGGGAGGGTACCTGTTGGGAAGATGTCTTGTGTGCACGTATGATTAGTAAAAGTCTCAATGGCTACATCTTCGATGCTCTAGCTCTCACCTGCAAGCAGAATAAAGTCCGACTCGTTCTCCTTGCCTGCCGGTAGTTTCAAGGCATTGAAGTCGGCATAGGGTACTCGGATATACTGTGCTTGTCCTGCAGAATCCACCTTGTTAGGGGCGTATCATAACACAGATTCATCAGACTCACCACCGCGGTAAGGCCCCATAGATACGTAGCCTAGCGAGTCAGTATCAACTCATCGAAAAAGCTTCGAATAACATACCGTATGCCCCTCCTGCAAACCCAGGGTTGACACCAGTGCAGAAAGCAGTGCGCCCTTCCTCGCAGTTCCGGCAGCGGCCGTCAGCGACGTTGAACGGCATGACAACGCGATCACCCTTTTTCAGAAGCGTCACGCCTTCTCCCAGCTCCTCAACAATCCCCATATTCTCGTGGCCTGCCTTCAAGTCAGCTTTCCATTACTTAGATGAGGTGACTAGTGTCACACCGACCAAAGGTGATCCCAGGCTCAGCAGCCGTTCTGCCTTCGTACATGCTGCGGATGTTGATTAGAGGTCTTCCAAGACAACCTCCCCCCGCCCCCTACTTACTGCAAGTCACTACCACAGATCGCTGCCTGTAGATTGGTTAGGTTTCTTCATTAATCACGGTCGCAGTGGGTCATGTTTACCGTTGTGACTTTGACGATGACATCATCGGGATGCTCTAGCTTTGGCTTCTCAACCTCTTGCACCTTGACCTCGAACGGTCCTTGATAGTTCACAGCTTTCATGGTCGCCATATTGTGCGGATTACTTAAGGTGGGTTGGTAGAATTTGGAAGAAGATGATGGGAGACAACAGACACAGAGCGTCCTTGGACACCCCTTCTTATTGATGTTTTCATTCGACTCTACCCCGCGTTCGACGAACGGACTGGTAAGCATGACGGGAAGTCCGGGCGACAAATCTCGGGTTTCGCCCGGTGTTCTGTCCCCGCGATGACGCTCTTGTTCCTAAATTGGAGGCTTGGCTGCACCAATCGTGGGGAACAAAACGCGGGGAAGATGGAAGACAGGCCGAAGGATGTCCCGGCATTTGGAATCGCACGCTGAACTGTGGGGAAAAGGGCATTTATAGTTCATGCTGCCACGAGGCTGCTGCGCCAACAAGCTCGAGAAGTGCGCAAGTCGGCCGACAGGATGGCGGTCATGCCTATGGAATGGTCTGGCCCTGGGGCTGAGGCGCGATGTGGCAGCACCGATCTGCACATGATAACGTGTTAAGGGTGTGGTCGTGACGAGTGTTTGGGTCAAAGAGAAGCTAGCCAGCCGACGCATTTACAATAAATGTCGGTATAGGGCCGGTTGAGATGCTAGAGTTTTCGCTATCCTCTAAGTAAATCTCGCTTCCCGAGCCGCTAAGTGGTTCAGTACAGTCGTTGAAGAAGGGACGAGGGAGCCATCGCCGTGTCTATATTCAACAATCCACCATCATGGTGCTTCGACATGTTCAGATTGCGGTTAGTGGCACTATGTGATGCATGCATTATGAATCATCGCCGCTAGCATAGTATATTCAGGGAACAATCGTGAACGCGAAGATACACCTACAATAGTCTATACCTCCTTTGCAAATGCAGGCAAGACCAGTGATCAGAGACCTTCTTGGCAACCGCTGGATAGAACTCGAGTATGATAAGAATTTCAATTGTTGTATAAAAAACTTCCATGGCGGACGTGTCGTGACCTTAAGTAATGTATCGAATGAAGCCAGACAGAAACGATATCCTTACGCAAGTCATGTGTCCCATTATGCTGTCTTCTTTACCAGAAAGGAATAGAGAAAGCGAATTCGACTGCTACTGACTAACCCTGCTCAAGCCTGTGCCTTCTCGTCATGAGAGACCATGCCCTTGATCTCGTTGTCATCTGACGCTCGGTTTCTCTTCCGTGGCGCCGAGATGGCGCTGGCCAAGTCTGGGTAGAGGAGCACGGTGCCTGTCTGGATATCTTCATTCGCAGTGGCATCTGCGTCGAGTACTAGCCACTGAGCTCTCTCGAATCGCTGACGGACGTAAGGAGACATTCCAACGAACCGCAGTTCCACATTGTCCCCGCCGTATTTGCGAACGCTGGCGGCAAGATTCTTCAAATGACTGATGGCTGTGAAGTCGATGTGATTAACCCTCGCGAAGTCGAGGACAACCAGACCAATTTCGGGCAACGACGTGGGATCATGGATGCCTGCCTTCTTTCGGAGCCTTGCAACGCGTTTCTCGCCGACGACAGACCAGTTGCGCTCGGTCTCGGGTCCGTGGCTGCCGTTGTAGACGGGCGCGTGGAAGGTTTGAATGTCATCCAGTACACGAGATGTGTTGCTGAAAGCGTTGGGGAAGAAGAGCGATTCGTTGAATCTGAAGACTCGCGTGTCCTCGGGCAGGTTCCTAGGAACTGCGCTGGATGCATGCAGTGCGCGAGCCAGCTCGGACTGGGATTGGGCTGATCCGCTTGATGAGAGAGTTGTGAAGACTTGGCGCAACAGGACGTAGACAATGTTGAAGCCGACGGCAGCGCCAATTCCGATTTCAGTAGAAACAAAGAGCGAGACCCAAAACGCAATCATGGAGGAGATGAAGTCAGCCAAAGAGGTCTTCCAATATCGGTAGAAAGTCGACGGCGGTGAGATCAGGGGCCACACGGCCGTGATGATGATCGCAGCCAATGTTGCTTTGGGGATCCAAAACAGCGTTCCGACCAGTTCATAAACGCAGATGAGGACCACCGCCATGGTAACGAGACCGGACAAGGGTGATTTGACGTTGCAAGAAGAGTTGACAGCCGTGCGCGACATGGCGCCGCCGACCCCCATGGCGTGAAAGAAGCTGTTGAAGAAATTGGTAACGCCGAAGTAGCAAAGCTCTTGACTTTGGTCTGTCGTGTACTGATTCCTGACTGCAAAGGCACGGGCAATCGCTGTATGTTCTACTGCTGCACCGATGAAAACTGCAATGCTGCGGCCGGCCACTTCTGGGATCAGATCCTGGCGCGGAAAGGTGGGTGCTTGTTGGCCATTGGCTTTGACTTCGACGACTTCAAACAGGTACTCCGACCTGTTCTTGTTGACTCCATAGCTGACCCCAGTAAAGAGTACGAGGGTGAGAAAGGCTCGGGTGATGGAGAGCAGCCAGATAGTCTTGTTCTTCTTGCCCCACCGCTTCCCAGCTTGATCAAGGAGTGTCAGGAAAAGGATGCCTGAGAACCCGATGAGGCAAGCCCATCCATTTGCATTGGGCAACTGGTTGAAGATGTCGTGGATCTGGGTGGCTGCGCCATCGCCGACGTTGTCTTCTCCCAGAAGAGAGTCCATCTGATTCAGGATGATCGTGATGGCGACTGCGGAGATGAACCCGCTGAGGACGGGGAGGGAGATAAATTCCAAAAGAAACCCGAGCTTTAGGAAACCCAGAATCATACCGTAGACACCCATCATGAGCGCTGTAGCTGAAGCGATCTCTGATGGTGTCCATCGATCTTGCAGAGCGTGAACGTTCTCGGATGTGAGGAGACCAATCAGTGAAGTTGGTCCAGTTGACAGGTCTTGGCACAGGGGTTAGAATAATCTTGGCATATCCCTGGTGATGAATCATACCTTTGGTGGTTCCCATGAAAGCATAAATGGCGGCAGGGAGCCAACTCGACATGAGGCCATACTCAACGGGGATGTCTGCAATTTTGGCGTACGACAGTCCCTGAGGGATGAGCATCAGACCAATGGTCAGGCCCGCAATCACATCATTAACGATCCATCTTGGATTGTACCGAGGAAGCCACCCGATGATTGGGAACTTCTCGACAACGTAGTGGACTGAAGCAGAGGGCAGGGCGCGAGCACCAGACGCTCCAAGACGTCCAACTCGGTTCCAAGTCACGTCAGTTCTGACATCGGCCTTGATTTTGTCCAAGACCTTCATAGCTAAGACGATCGGTGTGTAAGGACAATTGTAAACGTGGGTGGAAGGGATGAGTAGACGGCAGGAAAATCTGTAGCCTATCCATTCAGCAAGAGCCAGAAGGCCTGGGTGAGCTTTACATATATGAGCCTCTTCGTTACAATCCTTCTGGAAGCGGATCTGCCGCCGCTTCCTGACGCGTTGCTAGCTTGATGCACTCAACCCCACGCAGCAGATACTAAGGGTGACGTTGCAGTGTCGAATGGACTTGTTGCATCGATCAATCTACAAAGACTGGTATTGGGCTACGTCTAACCGGCCTACTTCGGTCTTCGGGATCGTCGACTTCTCAATAGATAAACATTAGAAGGGTGTGCATGGTGCAGCATGTCAAAAAGAGAGAGATGAGAATGGATGCCACACCGGTCTCACCACTGAATGCAGTGTTCTGGTGGTGTAGGGTGAGTGGTCACCAGACAGTACTCTCTGTCAAGTCCGCGGTAGAGAGGGGTAAGCAAATCAACTGTGTACCACCTCGTGAAACGAGGGGAGATACATAATGCAACAGGACGGCGTCCAATGACCAGACAGGCTGCCAATGGTAAAGTTGGGGTGAAGTCATCTATCTTTTGGTGTGCAACCGGCCGAGTCCTAAAATGCCGTCCAACCCGGGGGTTCTCCGCAAGGAACTTCAGTCAGTGGCCCACATCAGTGTTCAATTAAACGGGAGGAACTAGGCTCGATCCTAGGCGCCTGCAGTCGTATTGGGGAAGTACCGTGTTTTGTAGATCTAACTTGGCTTGGTGTTTCCTATTTCGGTCCTACTTGGGTGTCATCGACCTGTATATGCGCTGCGGGAGGCCAAGTATTCAGCAAATAGAAGATTAAAACGCCACTTTAGGGTTCTATCAGGGTGTGGCAAAGATGCTTGTATTACTCCAATCATATTACTGATGTTTCAACGTCGGGGTGTTCCCCGCGCTTCAGCTAAGCTAACCTTGCGCAATGTAGCTCGGCTTCTATGCTGGAAAGCTCAACCCATGATCCTATGTTACGTGCATAATGATGTCTGCCAGGCCTCACTCCTCAGCTGGCCACGAAGCCCAAGCCAGGACAATGAGGAATTTCAGACCGGCTGCAATCCACAGAGCCCCAGCCGTACCGAGGGCACTTTTTGCAATAAGCCCTCCCAATAAAGCACCTCCCAAGAGGAGACTAGGTGCTGCTACCCTTCTGTTCCGCTCTGCATTGGTAAAGAGGTTCTCAAGCAGCTGGGCATCGGAGAAGAGATCGCAATAGATGCTCGTCAATACAACACTTGTGAGGGCGTTGTACTTCAGAGCTCTACTTGCAACCGCCTGCCCACAGCTCTGGAACGCGACAAGCGCTATTGGTACGATGACATACCATGGCACATCGTCCGGACCGGCGTCCTTCGGTCCCCAAGTCACAATAGAAGCGGCTGCGACAATGAAAAGAGTCTGGATGGCGAAAGACAGGCAGAGGATCCAGCGTCGCTTGGGTGAGGGCGAGAAATGTCGGTGGAGGCGGCTGAACAGGAATGACCCTGCACAGAACGACAGAATCGAGATGCCGGATTTCTTCCATCGGTTGCTTTGTGCGGTAGGACCAAGTCCGAGGTAAACCGTGTTCCCTGCCAGTTTCGCGGGTTATTAGTTTGCATGGTCTACCATTATGAGCTCTGTTGACCGGTCGGTGGTTGACTTGCCGGTTTGCATTGATACGAAAGCGCCCCAAGTCGAGATCGAAGCACTGTCCAGAAGACCAGTGATGATGTAACAAGCCAAAAGGACAAGATCAGCCCAGTCTCGCTGCACATCGCCTGCCAGTCGTTTCTTCAGGCTTGACCTCTTTGCTGGTAGACCACCCAGTAATGGTTGCTGCTCATTCTGGCCGTTAGCCACATCGCTGTCTCCAACGGGAGCTGAATTATTAAGAGTGCCGTAAGGGTTGGAAGTTGGTATGGAGGCCATTCTGTCTTGTCTGTCGTCTATGCGCCGTCGTGGTTGAGGTCGAGAAGATTGCGAGTTGAGTTCTCCTTCGGATCAAGTTAATTGTGAGGAGAAGAATGACACGCGATCAGCTCATCTTTTTCGATGTTCAAGATAAAACATAGACTTCCACGGGAGACCTTACTCCGTCGGCATTCGGACTGTTCCTACCGGCCAATAGCCCTCGGCATTTATTGCGTGACTGCTTGTTTGACCTTGAAGCAGTGTGATGACCATTGTCCAATTGACGCCACGACGTGGGATGAGATGCGAGTGGTCACTAGGATGCATGCTTCCCGACGCGTGTCGACTGCAGTGACTTGGTAGTCGGCGCGCTGCAACCCCCTCGTCGATCACCGAAGCCACTGTGCCGTGAGCCGTACCCCTCACGTCGTGACGACCGGTCGCATTTCCACCATTCATCCTTCTGCGACGGCCCGCATGTAGCGCCGTGGAAATGACTCGGGTTTCGGGTTCTAGATTTAGAGATGGCTGATACCTGGAGTCAGCAAACCCCAAGCCTTGCCGTATTGATGAACGTACAAAAGCAACCCGGCAACTTGTTGGTGTTCAGCAGCCGGCCGCATGCTCGCATAGCACACCCATCACACCATCTATCTGCCAGTCTCTCCTATCTGGCTGCCCTGCTACATCAAGTGGTTCCGGTTTTCCTAGTTTCACTCCACTCACTTCACATTGTTCGCAAGTTCAATTTGCCCATCATGCGCTCTGGACTCACACTCCTGGCAGCCGGGCTCTGCGCGGCCATTCCTGTTCAAGACAGCCCTAGGCAGCGACTGCTTGATGGTCTTGGTATTCCTTCAAGCTACCGCAGCGTCTCCGGCGGAAACCCTATTCCATTCACTCCAGGGCATAGAGATCCCGACGACAACGCTGTCGATTCTGTTGGTGAGAAGTTGGACCCCCTGCCATGGCGCAACGGTCTCGGTGCCTCTGTCCTAGGGCCGTGGAATGAGGCTCGTTCTCGCCAGAGCCCCGATCTCGTACGACCGCCGAGCACAGATCACGGCAACCTGGGTAACATGCGCTGGAGCTTTGCGGACTCTCATATTCGCATTGAGGTCAGTATAGTTATGCCTCGAGAGAGGACGCTTGTTGCTATCGTGCATGGAAATGAGCTAACAACATGCAGGAGGGCGGGTGGACCCGACAGACTACTGTTCGAGAGCTACCGAGCAGCTCAGAACTCGCCAGTGTCAACATGCGACTGGGCGAAGGTGTCATCCGTGAGCTGCATTGGCACAAGGAGGCCGAATGGGCCTATGTGCTCGAGGGCAAGGTTCGAGTCACCGCTCTGGATTACGAAGGCGGCAACTTTATCGACGATTTGGAAAAGGGTGATCTCTGGGTACGCATTCGCTTTCTCTCATTGTTGTGTTCGTTTTATTTATCTTGGCTTACACCACATAGTACTTCCCTTCTGGAATCCCTCACTCGCTGCAGGGCCTTAGCGAGAATGGAACTGAGTTCCTTCTGGTCTTCGACGATGGTCACTTTTCCGAAGAGTCGACCTTTGTGCTCACTGACTGGTTGGGTAAGGATTTCCCCTTTCAGCTTAACATGTCACTTTCTGACCGAGACAGCCCACACCCCCAAGTCGGTTATTGCAAAGAACTTCAACTTGGCTCCTGAGGTATTTGCACACATCCCTGCCAAGGAAAAGTACATCTTCCAGGGCACTGTGCCAGGGTCGATCGACAAGGAAGCGCCCAGCGGCAAAAACGTGAAGAAGTCGAAGCACAACTTCACGCACAAGATGCTGGCACAGGAACCCCTAAACAGCACCAACGGCGGCGGCCAGGTTCGCATCACCGACTCTAAAAACTTCCCCATTTCCAAGACCATCGCCGCAGCCCATGCCATCATCGAGCCTGGTGCGATTCGCGAGATGCACTGGCACCCCAACGCCGATGAATGGTCCTTCTTCATCCGGGGTCGTGCTCGTGTTACTATCTTTGCCTCTGAGGGTAACGCTAGGACTTTCGACTATGTGCCAGGAGATGTCGGCATCGTGCCTAGGAACATGGGCCACTTCGTCGAGAACATCGGCGACGAGCCTATTGAAATGCTCGAGGTTTTCCGCGCCGATGAGTTCCGCGATATCTCTCTATTCCAGTGGATGGGCGACACTCCCAAGAAGCAAGTTGTCGACACACTGTTCGCAGAGGACCCAGAGAATGCCAAGCTATTCTGGGACCGCGTCAAGGATGCTGACAACAACGCCGTCACCAAGCCCGACTTTGTTCGTTCTGCTGGTGCTCAGCCTGAAGAGCTCTGAGTCTCAGGCGATGATAGCCCACTGAAAAGAAGCGTCATGTCGTTCTGTATCTCTGTCCTTAGCCTGGAGGGTTTTCATTCGGTTTCAGGAAACACAGGCCGACCACTGTACATCTAGTCTTTCACTTTTCAGCGCGAATAACATGCTCGATTGAACAATGATCCTGATCGATCCTCCTGCTGCCATTCGCCGTTCAACATGTCAGAGCGCTGAGATGATCAGTAATGAGAATGATGCAGTGTTCCCCACGTGCTGGTTACGATAGGCCACCGCAGAGTTGCAGCTGCGACACGGCGGACTTCCGGCTGCAACCTAACTTTGGCAATGAGCAACTCAGCAACTCGGCTGGATACGAATGAGATGGTTACCATGTCTCGCTTTCGCCCCTCCCCGCTCTCCATGGTATGCAGGGCACCGGCAATTACTTGCCGAATGTGCGCCTCCCCCGCACAACAGGGAGCCATCCACCCACCCACCACATCTCGCAGGATCCGTGTAAGTCACATTGATGTCACCCCGTTCGCTGCAGCCATCACACCTTCTCTGATCGGGCGCCGACCCCCAGGTATGCATACCGAGCTCGCATAGCGTCTCGGCGCTCCGCGACCCCAGCCCGAGGCTCTCGGAGCAGAGTGCAAGTCTCTGTTCGGTCAGCGAGCTGACCATGCAGCCTGATGCGAGGCCTCGGTAGCGCAGATCATTTACGCGTTGACGAGACAGAGACCTCATGTTGCGGCGTTCCTATCATCTTGCAGAAGCATCACTTCTTGAGCTTTGCACGCATCGTTTGAACAAACTCGGGCTTTCGGCGTGGAGAGATTTCTCCGAAAACCGAGAGAGGCCGAATTGATTGCTTCACTGCATCACGACCTGCAGAAAAGGTGACGAGTACATGTCTGTTCGAGCTGATCGGGAAGGTAGTCTGGTTGTGCCATTGGGAGGGCGAAGATGCACGAAGCAGGACATGCGTTGCGTGCATAAGTGTCTTCGAACAGGTCAAGACGGTGTGTCCCGCGGAAGCCAAGTTTTTTACACCTTTGTCCGAAGATGATGGACACGAGCTGTATTCTTGATGAAGATATTGGTTCTTGTTCGTAGAAGAATGATCCGCGTAAGCACGAATCGAACGTTAACGACTATCCTTTCGTCAGGATTTGCGGCTCCCACTCGTGAAGCCGAGTCGAGAAATGTGTGATTTCAGGCTGTCAACTTTGGATCAAGCATTCCAAAAGATTCTTGAATGGTAGCCCGTCATCGTACTCTCGGTCATCTCGCCGTTTGAGCGATATCGCCGAAAATCACACCCATCAAGCCCCGTAACACCAAACATCAGGACGACGTGGGTGATAGCCAATGCTCCTTCGTAACAAAGTGGATGAAAAAAGACTTGGTTCAGCAGTCTGTGGATGGAACTCAAGGAGTTTACATGCATTGTTAACCACGATATCATGGGTCATAGATGCAAGCCATTCCCATTCCAAGTCTCGTCTCTTGGCCTCGGTATAGTATTCAAAAGCTCTGACAGGCGATATCCTCTGGTTTCGTCGGTAACCTTGAAGGTGAGCATGGCAATCTCATAGTCTTTAATGGGTCGTGAAGGAGGACCGAGTCAAGAACTTTAGCATCATGTCGCTTGGCTTGTCGCTTGGCTTGTCACTTGGCTCCCTCAATCTGATCGGCCCTCTTCGGTTCATAGGCTTCAACAACCCCCAACTGTCTGGACACTGCCTTTCACTGAAGTTCTTGAAGCAAGCAAGCAATCCATATCTCATCAGTCTGTCCCTCCCCGTGAGTCATGTCGCCGAGGCTGTTGTAGATGGGAGGTTCTAGAACTGTCGGAATATTACCTTCAAGGCATCGTACCTTAGTCAGCTGCCAGCACACACGAAGCGCGCGCCCTTTGTGTTATCTCAATCGCGAATCGCCCCCCTTATCAATGGCCACTCCTTCATTGGATCGTGATTCATCATGCTCATTGTGCCTCTCATACGGAACTGGCCCCGAACCATTTGTCCTTTGACATTCATCAAGCCGAGGATATCAAGTCTGCATCTTGCCTACAGACCAGTCATGACTGTCCCAGCATCGGTGCCCTCGGGCCGCGTTGTGGGCGCACTGGCCTGCCAGCAAGACTCCTATTTGCGAACCCTCGAAAGCGAGGTCCTGTCATGCGTCAAGAGGGCACCGCCCACTTCACAGGAGGGTGAAAAGAGGAAGTCGAAAGCAGCCGCCGAGTCAGCTGAAGCAAAAGATATTTGGTTCATCGAATGTGCCGACTCGGTCTTGTTTCCCGAAGGTCAGCTAGCTGCTCGAACACTGAATCAGCGGTCTCTTCGTGCTAACTCACCACCGCAGGCGGCGGACAGCCCTCCGACTCTGGCACTCTGATACCGCTGGATGATGAATCGGCAGAGCCCATCCCCATTGACTTCGTCCAGCGCCAGGGCCTGCAATGCATCTACCACTCGCCTCGGCCCCTCGCGCCAGGCACACGGGTCCTCCAGACCGTCGACTTTGACCGTCGCTGGGACCACATGCAGCAGCATACGGGGCAGCACCTCCTCTCGGCCGTCATGGACAAGTGCGACAACCTAGAGACTCTCGGCTGGGGCATGGGCAAGCAGGGCGAGGCGAACTATGTCGACCTGCCGCGGAAACCCTCGCCCGAGGAGATCCAGGCCGTCCAGGACCGCTGCAACGAGATTATCCGCGACAGCATGCCCATCACGGTGGACGTTCCGCAAAACGCCAAGGACGACACCCTGCCTGACGACTACGACAAGGCCAAGGGTGTCGTACGCGTCATTCACATTGGGCATGTCGACAGCAACACGTATGTCCAACCGACTGACCTCTAACAAGTCTCAAGTCTGGCAGGGATCTCGAGGACTGACCGTGAAACACAGATGCTGCGGCACTCATCTGGCCAAGACGTCACACATTGCTCTCATTCTCTTGCACTCGACACAGCCCGTCCACGTGAAGCACTGTCGCCTCTTCTTCACAGCCGGCGACCGCGCCATCAAGCTTGCGGCAAACTCCATAGCGGCCTTGACCTCCGTCGGCAAGGTCCTGTCGTGCGGCGGCACGCCCGACCAGGTCATCGCCAGCACGACGCGCCTGAGAGACGTCAGTTCGGAGCTGCGGAGCAAGGAGAAGAGGCTCCTGTCCGAGCTGGCGCGGTTCGAAGGCGAGCGCGCGCGGGCGGCCATCGCGGCCGGCAGGGATGCCTGGGTGTACCGCACCGAGGACGGGCTGGACTATGCGAACCTCGTCGTGTCCGAGGTCAAGGACGCGGCGATGGCCGCGGGGCGGGCGGTTGTCATTGCGACGGGCGAGACGAAGAAGTCGGGCCCCGTTGTTGTCGTTGGTGCCAAAGAGGCTGTTGATGCCCTCGTGCCCAGAATCAAGGAGGCTGTTCCAGCTGTGAAGGGCGGCGGCAAAGGCGAGAAGTGGCAAGGCAAGGTGACGGAGTGGCAGAAGGGCGAGCTGGATCGTTTGCGGTTATTGATAGAGCCTGAGTCTTCTGCTTGACATCGAGAGTGAGGCCTACAGAAGAAGAAAAGCCGAGTTCCTGGAGGACGTTCATTTGCATTGCCAATGTTCCCCCCATTTCCCTGATATGGAAGGAAAACTCCTAAACGGACCCGGCACAGTGCCACAGCTACTGGCGACTCGGGACACAAGGATGCCGGGTCAGCGCGACTGAGATATCCTGCTTGCTTGGAATGCAACGCTGTTGGCGCTGTTGCTGAGTGCTCAAGGCGTCCGGCAGACGTCTCATGAGATCATATCACATCAGAACGGAGCTGTGCGACATTAGCTTGCCCAGAGAGTTATCGTATTGGAGCCTAAGCGGCTGCATTCTCGTCGCATTCGGGACCGCCAGCGGACAAAATCGTAGGTTGGCATTTGAAACCGCATGCTACCTTCACCTTACCTTCGTGAACGTGCTGATGACTGATCCACGGCAGTTTTGTCAAGGGCATCATTCATTCGAATATTGACGATATTGTGCGGCACGCGCCTGTCTGTTAGAAGTCGAGGATATTCCTTGCCAGCGTACGATCTGGGGGCGTGTTTGTTGCATCGAGATCGTCCATGGTCACAGTAGGCTGGAAGATACCACCAAATGCTCAAGACAGCTGTGGAAATGCCGAGTCCGTGACAGTCAACACTGTCAGATATTGAATATGAATGCGAAAAAGAGATCCGCAAAGAATCTTCGTACTCGATCGAGCCTTAGAAAATGGAACCAGGAGACAAGGCGGGACCATCGATTCATGACACCACGGCTAAAAAGCTGATATCATATCGCAGGTTATTATGGCGAAAGGACCAACGTGCTGCTTCTTTTTACTCAAGCTTCTTGTAAAGCTCACCTCGTGGACCTGTCGACTGAATCCCCCATGCCGACTCGAAAAGCTGGGATCCAAGACCCGGAGCCCAGACCACTCGGCACTGCAAACAATGGCTCACCCCACGTGCCCGACAATGTCATTTCTTTTCGTCGCCCCTGATCTGATCTGGGGAAAATTCTGCACCGTCCATTGGCGGGAATGCCCTGTCAAGCCTCCGCTCAGCGATAGCGCCATGTCCGGATGAAACATCCCGATGCTTGATCGGGACGGAGATTGGGGACAGCTCTGGATGACTTTCTACGTATTCGGTCACAGTCAACCCGAGCTAATTATCTCACCACTACAAGGCTTGATGCTGCCATCCGATCGAATACTGAGAGAGGCGGGCCGGTCCTGACAGGGATTGGTGGACGTGGTCGCATGGAATTCCTTGCTGTTACTTTGTCCACAGCAATCAAGTGCCCAGGTCCATCTCTCACTCATTTTCTGTGTACTCCTCAGAGCGAAGGGGCGAGGACCAGGGCCCCAGCCCGGATCCAGCGCGCGATCGAAGGACGCTATGCCAGGAAAACAATGAATTTCAGCGGCACTCAATCCAAGCCATGCCCCGCTATGAGGCCCTGTGCAATCTCTGTAATCTGCTCTCTCTGACTCCAGATCCTCAGCTCGGCTGTCAACTATCGCCCTAGTTGTATCAGACATATCGACCTCCGCCGACCAAAGAGGACTTTGCCCAGAAGCTAGTCTGTAGACAGATTCTTTCCCCGTGATGCTTGTCCGGTTGTCCCGGCTAGGACTAGGACCGGGATACTGACACTGGCGAGTGCCTCAATCATCTCGGCCAGAATGCAGGGCTTGAAAATAAGGATTCAGGTAAGCTTAAGCCAAGTCAGAGGGAGGGCCAGAACGTCGGAACGAGAACCGTATATGAACGTCAGTCTCGGCACCCAGGCTTAGATATAGACTCTCCTTTGAGTTTGGCGACCTTCCAACCTTTGTCAATCCTTATTTTCACAGCATTCTTCTTCTCTCATTTCAACCCATTTCATTTCCATCTCTGTTACCATGAAGTTCTTCAGCATCCTCGTCGCAGTGGCGCCGGCCGCCCTCGTCTCGGCTGCCGACTTTTACGTCGCTACCACCGGCTCGGACACCGCCGCCGGTAGCCTCGCCGCCCCCTTCAAGTCCATCCAGGTTGCCGTTAACAAGGCCGCCGCTGGCGACACCATTTACCTCCGTGGAGGCACCCACAAGCCGACGACGAACATTCAGATCACCAAGAGCGGTACCGCTGCCAAGCCTTACACGGTGACGGCTTACAACAGCGAGAACGTCATCATTGATGGCGAGGCCCTCACCGGTACCCCGGCTGCCCTCAACGCCGCCCTTGCCAACAAGGACCGTGGTATCTTCCACATTGAGAAGGCCAACTACTGGAAGTTCTACAAGCTCACCTTCATCAATGGGCCCTACGGCGTCTACGTCCGTGACGGCACGAACCACTACTTTGAGCGTATCACCACCCATGACAACTACGAGACTGGCTTCCCCATGGAGGGCGCCCTGTCCAACAACCAGGTCGTCTACCTCGACTCCTACCGCAACCGTGACCCTCGCAAGAACGGCGAGAGCGCCGACGGTTTCGCTCTGAAGCAGGGTTCCGGCACGGGCAACGTTCTTCGCGGCGCCCGCCTCTGGGAGAACGTTGACGACGGTCTTGACTTCTGGTAAGCTACCGACTACAAGCCCGCCTCGAGGCGGACCTTCAGAGTGGCTGACCGGACAACAACAGGGAGTTCAAGGACCGTGTCACCGTCACTGACACGATCGCCTGGGGCAACGGCGTCAACCGCTGGAACTTCTCCCCCTTCGCCGGCGACGGCAACGGTTTCAAGCTCGGCGGTCTCCCCTCAGGCAGCACCGGCAACGCCGACCACATTGTCAACAACTGCATCGCCTTTGGCAACGCCGCCAAGGGCTTCACCGACAACAAGCAGACGGGCACCTTCCTCTTCACGCGCAACACGGCCTACAACAACGGCGCCGTCGGCTTCCAGACCTCGGCCGCCAAGGCCACGTTCCAGAACAACATTGCGGCCCGCAACTCCAAGACGACGGCCCAGTCCGGCCAGACGTCGCTCAAGAGCGCTACCAGCACGGGCAACTCGTGGAACAGCAGCCCCGTCTGGACCGACGCCAGCTTCAAGAGCGTCGACGTCTCGCTCGTCAAGGGCGCCAGGCAGGCCAACGGCAAGATTGTCGCCAGCAACTTCCTGCTGCCCGCCTCGGGCGGCAACATTGGTGCCACCACCAACTGGCAGTAAATGTTCGCGCAAGAGCGGATGTTGCAACGGTCTTGATCGTGAGGCAGTGAGTGGGCGTGTGATGGCTCCGGGACACCTGGTGTGTGCATCACGAGTAATGGTCGGGTCCAGCCAAGCTGCTGAACCTCTTCATCGTACATAATATCTTTGCTTGTATATGACAATGCGTACATATATATATACATCTTATCAATAGACATGGCCATGTTTATCTCATTGAACGTCGCGGGATTCGTACCGCTGCCTGTCTGCTCATCCCGACCACACCTCCGGCCCTGGGTATTCATAACGCTGGCTTGCGGCGTAAATGTTGACAGCCAGACCTGGATCCTCCTTTGAATACTCGCCGGGGAACGCGACCAGCGGCCCCGGTGTCCCGTTGCCCCCGCCGGAAACCTCGACTTGCGCGCACGCGATGTAGAACTGGGGCGTCCCGTAGGCGTGCAGACCAATGTGCTCCGCCCTCAGCAGGTAGTCGCCGTTGGGCAGCGTCTTGGGGATGGTCGTCGATATCTCTCGCATTTCCGTCTCGAAGGCGGGATATGGGCCGCCGAGGTCGCCGTGCTGGTCAATCTTGAACCACACGTCACCGACGGGGTCCCAGGTCGTGACGTCCTCCCCGTCAGGCACGCGCGCCATGTAGAAGAGAACGGGTCCTGGGTGACCCATGCTGTTGCTGGATGTAAAGCCAACAGTTGAGCCAGCTGTGACCGGGAGGACAGCCGAGGGCGGGCGCCCGGGTTTCTCGAAACAGCGGAGGAACGTGGACGATAGGTCTTCTACGGGCTCGGCGCCGGGGTTGTTGTTCGTTTCACGGATGAACTCCCACTCGGCGGACTGGACGCCGTTGACAACTGTGTTCGGGAAGAAGTCTGTTAAGCATCATCAGCAGGGTGTCCTGGGGAGCGGCTGGCTATCTGGACCAACAGTGTGCCAAGACCCCGGAGGATAGCAGCGGCAAGAGGGCAGAGGACTTCATAGTGATGAGTGAGATGGTAAGAGGCTGTGGGATATAAAACTCTCGACTGCGCCGGCCGATGGTTCATTGTGAATGCCTAGAGGTCTTTTATACACTGACATTTTGGCCAAGCCGCCGCATCGCCAGGTCATGCTTTCCGCAATACGCATTCCATGAACATGGTGCAGCAGATAGAGATGGTTGTTCATCTAAGAGATCAGCGTCCTCACATTAACACAAGACTGGGCACCATGAACAAATCAGTTTCAGTTTGACCGCCGGCCAGTCAACGTTCTTCCAACTCGACGAAACGCTGCTGGTCAGCCTCCGAAGATTGAAAAGAAGCCGGTCATCGAGCCAGAACCTCCGTTCTGATTATGGAGTAGGCTCCCAGAGGCTTCAGCCATGCCTGGAGGATGATCACTGATCAATCGGTCTACAAGCCCCCACAGGCCCCTATTCGTCCCCGTGATTGACGATCCTCGACGCACACAGTTACAGGTTCAAGATTGAGTAATGCCCCGTGCTCTGGACACTATAAATTAGATTAGGGATCGCCGCCGCTGCCCAATGCCGTTGCGTCAACTCCGTATGACCGCGCTTCGCGTTATTCCGTTCCACCAAGACATGGCATCTCGGTTCGGTATGATCTCCCACGCAATGCGAACCTGTGACTGAGGAGTTCCTCGTGTGGAAGATGTTGCCAAATGTCAGCATTCGCTATTCGTTCTTTTTCTTTCGCAACATAATCTGAGTCGGTTTCCAACGGAACTTTCTTGGCATTCGAAAGCATTCTTTAGCTCCTTGTGAACGAGTTTTGCCCTGTTTGCAGAGTAGGGCCTGGCCTTCAACTGCCAGATCTCACTCACCAAGGGGTGTAGCATTGGGATCCCATCAACACCATACAAACATCGATGGGCACCGTCTTTTCGATACCATACAATCTTGAATGAAGCACGCCAGATCTGAGTTGCCGAAGTCTTGCGTAGAGCTCAAGTCTTGCGTGAATCTCAAGAAACTTGCCACAAGGCCAAGATCGATGGTCTTGGCCATCTTGGCCCGATGTGTTCGTCCTTTTTTTCAGGTCATTGGCAAGGGCTCGCGGTACCGCCCGGCGTCCATTGACGATGCACATGCACTGCATTTCATTCCACTACTTTCTGATCTGGCAGCACATGAATTGTCGGTGATGCGCTTGCCAGGGCTCCAAGACATCGCCAAGGAAACGGCGCCACTTTGGCCGACACCAAAGCCGGGACGCGACGCCAAAAAGGGCAGGACAGAGGAGATGGCAATGCCGATACGAGGCCAACCCGTATTGCATGTCAACGAAGCAAGAAACGCCTGACAGTCATGATGAACTACAAAGCCGGCGGCTCCGCGCGCGGCGTCGTGCCATGCGGTGGGTTGACTGTCGCATCTCTTCTGCTCCCTTTTTCCCCCAAGAATTCCTGCCAAGCGTCAAAGGTACAGCACCCCAGATCCAAGCGCCATGAAACCATCTACAGTCCTCCCCATCGTCTCCGCCCTCGTCGGCGGCGTCGCGAGTCAGGGCCTCTGTGCCACGGAGGATCCGACCCCCGAGACGCTCGCGCTCCTCGGCAAGCTCCAGCAGCGGGAGAGGCGCGGCACGCTGGTTCGGCGGCAATCGGCAGCGGCGAACCTCACGGTGCCGGTGCACATGCACGCCGTCGTGTCCGAGGGCCAGGACGAGCGGATCCCGGAGGCGCAGCTGCAGCAGCAGTTCCAGGTCCTCGTCGACTCGTTCGCGCCGAGCAACATCCACCTCGTGCTCGAGGGCCAGACGCGGACCGTCGACGGCGAGCTGGCGCGCGGGCCGCTGGGGCAGGGCGCGGGCTTCCAGGAGTTCGTGAGGACGACGCGCGCGGGCGGCTACGGCACGCTCAACGTCTACTTCTACACGGACATGGACCCGGGCGTGTCGGGCATCTGCAACCTGCCGTCCATCGGCGGCGGCGAGGACCCGTTCATCTGGAACGACCCGTGCCACATCCTCGCGGCGACCATGCCGGGCGACGGCGCCGAGGGCGTGCAGGGCAAGACGGCGGTGCACGAGGTCGGGCACTGGTTCGGCCTGCTGCACACATTCCACGGCAGCACGTGCAACCCCCTTGGCGGCGACATGGTCGACGACACGCCGCCGGAGAGCGTGGCCACGACGGGGTGTCCTGTCGGGAAGGACAGCTGCCCCGAGCAGCCGGGTCTTGATCCTATTCACAACTACATGGACTATTCGAGCGACCCTTGGTGAGCTTCTGATGTCCCGAATTTGTCTTGGACGAGATTGCTAATGGTTTGTTCTAGTCTCACAGAGTTCACCCCAGGACAGACCTTCAGGATGCATGATACGTTTGCTTGGACGCGTGCATCGTCGTAGGGATGACAGCGACCGCAGCTTGAGCACATCCACTAGTGATGGAGAGCAAAATCTTGTTGGACACTATTCAAGAAGAAAGACAAACGAGGTTCTGCGTCGTTATTCTGGGGCCTCTGCTTTTGCCGTAACACGGAGCCGTTCAAGACTTATGGAATTGACCCCAAGGTGACTGTTGCTGCAACACTCGTAAAAGAGCCATCTCGGTCACCTCAGTCAGATTTTGGTCCGTTTCGCTGAGCATCGAAAGTGAGAGTTAAATACCCGATCACCATGTGCATCGGCCGATAATGGGATTCATGATGAGCTGAATAGGCGATGAAGGCCGGCTGAATGTAAATGGTCATGTCACGATGTAACTTCACGTACAACTTGATGGACACGCCAGCTCAAAGGACGTTACAATCTTCAACGACATGAAAACCGTTCTGATCTTCGTGTAGACCATGATACCGATGGCGGGATTCCGGCCCATAATTATCAATGTCACAGTGTCTGTGTGCTGTCAAGCAAAGACTACGATGATGTAGTCGGCCGCGAGTCACACACGTCATGGCATGGCAAGGGGAACAACAGTCATTCATGGCCAAGGCACTCCCTTTCCCACAAGGCTCCAGCACACAGCACCGCAGCGCAACCAACACAGCACGCGCAGACGCGAGATTTCTCAAAACCACCGCAGGGTACTGGAGTGCCGCTGTATCCGCCACCGCCCGCCAGAATCCATCCGCATGGTGACCGTCATGCGACCCATCCCCTCCAAGAGGGCCCCGAACAGCTCCGACTCCTCCTCAGCCTGCGGCGCTTCAGCACGCCTTGTCACGTTCTCGGGCAAGTCGAGCCGCCGTCGATGGGGCGGTTCCGGTGCAATAGCTTGTATTTCATTATCATAATCTTGCCAACTGCTATCTGCAGAAGCGCTTCCACGATCCGGTCGCGCCTGAGCCGAGGATCGGGGGTCCTGCCGAGGGTGACGATCGGGGGCTGGCAGTACCGCTTGCTCCTCGTCCGCTCGTTTTGCGCGTAGTGGTATTTCCGTCATCACAGGAGGGCGCCTAGAGGCTTGGTCGGGCTGGGTCGCACGGGGACTCGATGCATGTGGCTTGCTGTCTGGCCGTGCCGCCGGCGCGGGCATACGATACTGCGGTTGCGAGCTGGCCTGTGACGCGGCAGAGGAGGGCGGCGTGTACACGGCGGGTGAGGATGGGCGGGATTCGAGCGGTCAATTTCCTTCGTAGACGAACAGCGGCTTGAAGTTCTGGGTCGCCTCGACGACGGCCGAGGCGAGCTTGAAGTCGACATCAGGGCCGAGGTCGCGCGAGGTGAGGACCTTGATTGACAGGTCGGGGTTGACCTTGCCGATGACCTGGGCGCCGCTGCCGTTGTTGAGGTGGGCGTCCTTGTCTCGCTGTCAGTAAGGTGCGATACGATCTCGCAGGATACGGAGGCATGGTGAGAAATTTGATGTCAGACTCACGCGGTCGAGGACGGCCGTCACGGGGCCGTCCGAGTCAATGATGGCCGTGTCGCCTCGGAGCTGGGTGACCTTGCCGACGAGGATGACGTTGCGACCAACGTAGGCGTCCAGGTACTGGGCACTGACACGCGGGTTGGAGCTAGCCTCGGCCATTTTTCCGTTCAATTGATGCTCTTTTGGAAGTGTAGGTGTGATGGAGTATGCTTGGTTCGTGACTTTTGCGCGTGTTTGCTGCTTCTGGTCCTTGGTGTCGATCGATGGGCGTTTGGCGTTGAGGGCAAACAGTCCAGAACTACGCGTCTGGGAGAAAGCCCCGCATCACGGTCGCGCCATCACGTGAGGGCGTGTCCCCTCTCCGCCCACTACCTACTGCCCGCCCATCTTACGTACCTGGGTAGGTAGGTACCTAGGTAGGTAGGTACTTAGGTACGTCGGACCTATCACCACTGCTATCAGTTGGATCAAACACAGCGATGTGCCGGCACTCGCAACTTGGCACGATATGACCGCCCGCTTCGTCTTCGTCTTCGTCTTCCTTTTCTGCCGTCTTTTCTTCAACGCCAGACATCGTCATCAGGGTCTCCGAGCCTCCTCCGAAGAATGGGGGCCCTTGGCATCTCCACGGTCATCTCATCACCTGATGTTGACTCGCGGTGCCTGGCGAAACCTGGCAGCCGGCCGACGATCCAAGGACAGACAAAGCGCTGTCGCATGTCGTGCAGCCCAGGACCCTCGATGCCGCAGCTTGCGCAGCCAGTCGTAGGGTCGACCTGTCACATCTAGGCGCAGATCGCAGCAAGGGGGGATGGGCCATGCACGTCTCTCTGTTTCCCAACCCCAAGACCCCCCACATGGGAGAGCCGCGCATACTCGACTCTCATTATCACATCATGATCAGACTGGTCGTCAGCTTTGTTGCCATTAGTCAGGTGTGCCCGTCCCGCGGAGAAAACGGCATGACAGGTAGGCCAGGGAAGCTGTCACAGCAAGAGAGAGGGCCCTGAACCGGAGACGGCGGCCGTGCCGATGCGGTTCGGCCGTGCCGATGCGGTTCGGCCGTCGCTGGTTCGTCGGTTTTTTTATTTTATTTCTTCGATTGGAGGACCTGTGTGAAAAAGAAGGAACAGCGGATCGTCTCCACCAGCCGACGCCATTGAAATGTGAGCATCGCGACAACCAGAACTTACCTTTCCCTTGCGTCGTCATGATGACGGCACGGTCCCTGATTTTTTTTTTCTGGGGTGAAACCTTCTTTGATGAAATGGTGTCAGAGATACAAAAGTTCAGTAACGTGTTCGTTTGTCTCTTCATGACTGGTTTCTCTCGTGGCCGTTCTGAACTCGACGGCACGGTGCCCGGCCAAGAGCAGCACAACACCGAGGACCTCCATACCACAGGAGGATGCAAATGAGCCCATGCCAGCAAGGCTGAGACAGAGAGACAGGGAGACAGACACGCTGTGAGCTTGAGCCGTGAGCTGGAGCGGGAGCTGTGAGCTGGAGCGGGAGCTGTGAACTGGTGGGTACAGTGGGTACCTAGCAAGCTTAGGTACCATGTCACCTCGCCGAGCAAAGTCCTCAGCGACTGGGTCCAGCACCCGTCCGGGTCATCGTTTTGGGGACGGCACAAGTCCATCGCCGTCTCCGTCTCCGTCGCGCTCACTGCTAAAGGTTGCCATCGCGCTGGTGAGTGGGTGGGGATAGCCACGGCCCAGTTCCGGTTCTTCACAACGCGCGTGCTCTGGCTGCTCAGGCGCTGTTGTCTCCCCCTCCTCGAGCCTCTCTGCCCCCCTCGCCCCCCCAGGCACACCAAACACGGCAGGTCTTTCGTCCTTTGGTCGCCTTGGCAAGCCTGGCAAGGTTTCTGGGGATGGGGGAGAGGGTAGAGACGAGAGACGAGACGAGGCGCTGACGGCGAGCCGGAGCCGTTCCTCGCCATCCCCTTGACGGGTCTTGTTACGGTGGGTGGGCGGCTTGACTTCTCTTGGACGCTTACTCCTCTTGGACGCTTACTCCTCTACGCACTGTTCGAGACGGCGCCTCGGGGGGGACCACCACCCACACCCGCACTGCCTTACAGAGGCACCTCCCTGTGCACCAGAGCTAATTATAATTGCCGTCCCTCCCAGTGGCAAAGTGGCCAGCCATCCAGCCAGCCAGCCAGCCCGGCAGCAGCACAATGCCCATGTTTTGCCTCCCCTCGCCGAAATCCCATGCGACAAAGCCCGCCAGTCCGAACACGGTAGGTAGGGTTGCCCAGGTGCATCAATTTTGGCCTTCGGGTCGCCAGCGAGCAGACGGCGAGAACGAGGAGCACCCACCCCCGCCTCGATTCAACGTAGCGGGTAACGAGAGCAGGCACAGCAGCTACTCACTTTCACAGACAAAGCTGTAAGTTCTGCAAGTCCCGGGGTGTACATCCGGGTCGATTCAGCTCCACCAGGCACCCGGAGCTTTTCCTCCTGTTGCACGCCTGCAGGGCCCGTTCACAATGTGCCCTTTCGAGTCTTTGGCCCCTCTGTTTGCCTTGATTGTTAGTCCGAGTCGCCTTGGGGCGCTGCGTGCTTTGCTCCACTGGAGCTCTCGCCCACCTCACCTCGCTCGGTGGCGGGTTGGCGCGCTGGGCCTATTGGTACATGGTAACTTGTTGGGGCACAGGACGCACCTCACGGCTGGTACGCCGACGAGGTACCGTACCGTAAGAGTGGATGGCAGGTACCTGTGAGAGAGGCAGGTTACGGTCGTATACCTGGTTACCTACCCACCGTAAGGTACCTAGGAGCTGAAGAAACTGGTGAAGAAAGGTAGGTAGGTACCGTAAGAAGGTAGGTAGGTAGGTAGGTAGGTAGGTAAGAGGCAGCCAGGAGTCAGGTATCGCCTGCCAGGTCGTTCACCACGTTGGAAAAACCAACTTCAGCGGAGTAGAAGTCCCCTCCCCTCGCTGATCATCTCTATCGCTTTCCCTTCCTGCTTCCCATCGACATCTTTCCCTCTTCATCTACGGATTCATCTCCGGTCTGTTGATTATTCGCTCCCCGGCCTCATCTCTCTGGAACCACGAGCCGCGCCCCTTGTTCACAGTGACAAGAGTGAGCACTTCCCATCCCAGCATCGTTGGGACGACGACCCTCCCGCTCTCTCCAGACCTTTCCCGCCTCCAGGTCGCCGAGCCGCATTCCAACTGTTCCCTGCCCTTCGCTTCCGCTCCAACCGCCTCTCCTCTCGATCCTCCAAAGCGCCGTCGTACCGCTGCCGAGAGAACTGGTCATACGCCCAGCCTCAGCCGCGAGCCCGGGTTTTACTCGGATCCATCACCAAACAGGTACGGTACAGCGCCCTACCCGTGTTTGCTCCCCTCTCCTTGCGCTTCACGAATTCGCGTCGCCAGCAATCTTGTCGCCTTTTGGCATCAGCATAAGTCTGTGTGCCAGCCTCATCTTCAATTGCCCTGCCTGCACCCCTTTCGTCGAAAGCTTGGCCCATTTTGTGTCGCAGGGTCGACTTGTCTCGCTGCGCATCCGCATCGGGTTGATCTGGACATCCCCCTCTCTCACTGTGGCAGCGCGCGCCCACTCCGTCTCAAGCGCAAACGGTCTTCCGCGTATCACTTGCTTCCCCTGGGTGCATGCTGTGCGCTGCATTGCTTTGCCCGTCTTCTGCGCCGTGGAGTACTCCTACTCACCCAACCAGTCGTGCCCTTTCCTGTCTTGTCGTTCGCACTGCTGCATTGCCTTTCGTCGTTGCCAATTTGCGTCGTGGTCTTGCTCTCGACTTGTCGCCGCGACCTCTCACTTGTGCGCGCGCTCTTCCGCCATTGTCGACCAGCAAATCATTCATTTTGCTAATTGCGCCCCAGGTCTTTCCACTGTTGAGCCATTCGACTCGAATGCTCGACCGCTTGGCTGGCTCCGTGACCGTCTCAGCACGCTCGTGGCTCTTGACAAGGCTGTGCTGTGCCGCTCCTCCAGCCAGCCTGCCTCGTGTCACGTTGAGGGTATTCTAGCTGCAGTCGAGAGTCCGACTTTGGTCGCAGAGATTGGTCCTCGCCATCTTCACACAACGTCAGACTTTGTTGCTCCAGCAAGGCTCAGCGCTTACAGCCCCCCATGGACACCCCTTCCCAATTCTTTAATGAAGCGGCATACGACGATCCGAGCCGCGACGGATATTTCGACACCGAAAACATACCCGGCCTCAAGACGGAACCAGGCGTCGACGACACCACAATCTTCCTCAACCAACCGAACGAGGTACTGCTGGCGGCACAGCTGCTGGCATCGAAGAGCTCCGCGCAAAAGGCAGCGTCGAACATTGAAGGCGACCCTGCACAACCAAAACTGGAAACCGACACGATGAATCTGAGGAACCGCCGGTCCCAAAGACACACCCGGGGTTCGACGGCAACGGTGGACTCGCAGGCGTCTTCCACACAGCGGTCGACGCCCCCCGCTCTGGTACAGGCCTCGAGCAGATCAACCGACCCCTCTGCCGAACCTCCTCCAGCCCTTCCGAAAAAGCAGCAAAAGCGAAAGAAGAGTTCGGCCAGCTCGGTGCCGTCTACCAAAGACGACCCCAAGCGTGATGTGTTCTTGCAGAGAAATCGAGTGGCCGCGAGCAAATGCCGGCAGAAGAAAAAGGAGTGGATGAGTGAACTGCAGGACACGAAGCAGGAACTGGAGAACCACAACATGCAGTTGCATGCCGAGTACAATGGGCTGCTGGGCGAAATCACCAGGCTCAAGGATCAGCTCATGTCGCACGCGCCCTGCAACGACCGCAACATCGATCTCTGGCTCGAGGCTGAAGCAAGACGGTTTGCGCAGAACTCGAGCAAGAGGTTCAACCCGGCTCACGGGGCCACTTTGCCCTCCGAGCAGCAGCTGCCTCCGGGGGCAATGACCCTGCCTCCTAGCCACTTGGGTATGTCTCTGGACCAACCCCCCTCTCATCCGTCCGAGTCATGGGAGCTAATGCATGTGTCTTGAATTGCAGCGGTGCCTTCAACTCATCTATCAATGAGCTCCATGCCGATGGATCCAAATCTAGCGGCCGTGACCTCTGGCGCTGTAGGAGGCGGCCAGATCAACTATGATCACATGCCGGACAGCATCTTCGAAGATACCTCGTGAGACAATGATCGAGACGAAACTCGCAAGGCGACGCATAATCGCGGCACCAAACCCCGGACGTAAAAGCACAAAAGGAAACAACACACAACGACGACGCACAAAGGAGTACGGCCAATGGGCACGTAGTAACAACGTTCGACCACTGGACTCGGACTCTGACTTGGGGGGTTGAAAAGACGTATGCCACGATACTGGAGTTGGTGTCAGCCGGCGCAAGAGGGAAACGGTACCAGTCAGTGGCTTCTGGACCTGGTATCATTGGCGTTTTAGCGTTTCGATCAGATTTACGGTTTTGGAATGGGGTACCCAGAGGACCTCGATACGGGGGGTCGTGGTAGGGAGGTGTTCTTTGAACGTAGGGTACAACAAATGACGCCTCGTCTCGGGCAGCGACGAGGACGAAAAGGGGGGATCCTTTGAGGGACGAGTTTTTCTTAACGGCAAGGCGTTTCTGGGTATTGTTAGCAGGGTGGCTCTATTTCATTTCCATGCCGGCGGCTCATGAACTCTCTGCTTCAAACTGTACAAGCTGGATCAGGTCTGGCGCACGAGTGACGGGCTTCCATGCCATGGAATTGCTGCCATGCAGACGAAATCGGGGCCCCGTAGACGTCATCGGCTCCATTCCCACCCACCGCCAAGCGATGCCCCCAGGCAGAACCTGACAGCGGGTGAGAGGACGAGGCGTAGCGCAAGAGTCTCGGCACAGGAAAACGAAGCAAGTTCGTGAAAAGCGCCAGCAAGCGGCCTTTTTGAACAATGGCGCGCCTGCTGCCACCCCTGATCTGGCGACGTCTCATTGGTCCGGCCATGACTCGGGCGAGAGATCGTGGACGGCGATCGGCGGCCGCGTTGCGATCGGTAGGGGACAGATTTAGCGACACCCACCCCGGGATGGGATATCTCTTGGCTCCCGACGAATCGCCTTCATCGTTTCTTTTTTTGTTTTTGGGAGGGGGGGGGAGGTTGATTTTGGTGCTGTTGTGTTGTGCCTCGCTTGTCTTTAGGGGAGGTCCTCTCTTGAGGAGGTCCTCGCGGCAGGCAAACAATGGGGACGCTGTGCGTGCTCGCTTGTTGGTGCTCGGCTCAGGTCTGACGACAAGCTGACGTATCTTGAATGTGGAAGCTGAAGGGGCTCAACACAACACTTGGTCGACCGCTGACGAAAAGGAATGCATACTTGTTGGAGGAAACGTTACGGTGCTCGTAGGCGAAAATCAAGTACGCACCTTGGCACGTGAGCATCACGATGTAATACGCGTTGTGAAGTTGTACAAGGGACGTGTATTCAGTCCTCTATTCCTACAAGACTCGCATGTCATTTCGAATCCCCCCCCCCCCCCCTCGACTCTCCAACGGGCCAGACCGTATACGGTCCCTTGGCGGCCCAACGCACTATGCCCCGTGCCGTGTAATGGTACAATAAAAATGCCACGTGCTGCTTGCTACACTCGTCATGCGATTCGCCTGTGCATGATCGCGCCCCCTTGCTTCGCTCTCTCTCCTCTCTCTCACGCGACAATCGGCTCGCCAATGGCCGGTCCCGACTGGGCGAGGCCACGGATGAGAATCTTGCTGACGAGATCGCTCTGGTGGCTCTCGAGCAGCTCGCGCAGCGCGGCGCGCTCAATGACGACGCGGCCCTCCTCGAGCAGGTCCTTGACGTCGACGTCGGCGACCTCGAGGCAGCGTCCGTGCATGCCGGCGTCGACCATTGAGTCGAACAGCAGCGGCCTCTTGTCGGCCGTGACGAAGAGGGTGCGGCCGTCGGCGCGGCCCCAGGCGTTGGCGGCGAGGACCTGCTCGGTCCACTTGCGGCGGTACTGGCGGGCGACGGGCTCGTCGACGCAGCCGGCGAGCAGGAGGTCGGTGAAGTCGCGCGGCAGCGGCAGCTCCATGCCGTCCTCGCAGACGAGGAGCTCGCCGCGGCGGTAGCGGTAGCTGAGGGCCGTGCGCCAGGCCACGTCGTAGACCTTGCGGTTGAGGCGCGTGGCGAAGTCGCGCGGCTTGGGGCCGTGGGACACGCCGCCGCCGCGCCGGATGGGCGACTGCTTCGTGCCGACGCGGGCGCGGCCGAGGCCCTTTTGCGGGTGCACCTTGCGGTGCGAGCCGTGGACCTCCCACCGCGTCTTGGTCGAGCCCGTGCCCTGCCGGTGGGAGTCACCCTCGTAGACGACGGCGAGGTGGAGGAGGTCGCGCCGGAGCGGGAGGTAGAGGTGTTTTGTAGAGTACGACTCGAGGGCGCGGGGGGCGAGGGTTGGGAAGGCGTGGATCGTGACGGGGACGGTGGATACTGCAAGACGGGTTAGCCAGCGTGTTCGGCCGTTCTCGTCAACTTCTGGTCGTCAACGTCTCCAGACCAGAGACGAGAGACGTACGTGGTGCCCAGGCGTCGGTGGAGATCTTGGGGGCGGCCTTGAAGGTGGTTGTGATTTGCGGCAGAGGCACCTCGGTGGCCATGGATCGTGTAAAGGTCGTGCTCGCCGACTTGGTGAGACCCGCCGACAGGTTCAACCTCGTCATGGCCTCATTGAGACCTCTGATTCCCTTCCCTGCCATTGTCGATGTGGTTGGGCTTCGTCTGCCCGTATCTGTGGCCGTCGTCGTGGGTCGGATTGACGATGGTTTCCTCGATCGCTTCAGCAGCAGCAGTTCGCGGTCAAAGAGCCATTGTCGAAAATTTGGCCTGGCTCGATTCCTCGCATTACCTAAGCACAAGGCCTTTGCATTACCTAAGCCAAGAACAAGGCTGTAGAGCTCCAGCGGGATAATCCGAGGCCGGGGCGAATGGAGCCCCTGATCCAATGGGCAGATGCCATGGACAATTATTGTGGGACCCGCAAAGTCGCGTGTGCTGAAGCTTCATTTTTCAGTTCCCTAACGGAAACCCCCCATCATCCCGTCTCTCAGAAAGGACCGCCAACCGTCAAGGGGTGCATCACCAATTGGCTCTCCTCACCATCATCACAAACCATGTCCTCCTGCCGGCAGGCCGCGAGGCCACTGGCCAAATGCCTGCGGCACGACGCTCTCCAGCTGCGTCCCTTCACAACCACGCCCTCGGCCCCAGCAGAAGTCTACAAGGTCGTTCGTGATCGCCCCGAAGGCACCCCCGACCCCCTCGAGCTCGACCCCAACACGGCCGTCGCGCCCTGGGCCGAGAAGGACCTCTGGAAGGCCGGCACGCCACCTGTGGGTTCTCGTCGTCGCCGTTATGCCATTCGCACCTCGCAGAACCTGCCCTTTGAGCAGCTGCCCTACCAGGCCTTTCAGGAGGCGCGCAAGATCCTCGCCCTCGATCGCCAGAAGAAGGTCGAAGCCATTGCTGCCGAGGTGGAGAAGATGCGCAAGATCCGCGAGACCGACGTCGCGCTGTTCAGGGGAGGCGAGAAGAAGAGGGAGATGAAACTCGAGAGCATTAGGAGGCACATTGAGCATCTCAAGATCCAGGCCGACATTAATGATCCCGCCGTCAAGAGGCGGTTCGAGGACGGACTCGGTATGTTTTCCCCAACGCATTGTTCTCTTCCATCGTTGGCTCGAGAGCTGACATTAAGCCCCCGCAGGTGACATGAGTAAACCCATCTACCGCTACCTCGCCAAGCGCCGCTGGGAGGGCTACAACAAGAAGATCATGGAGCAGCGCATCAGCCAGTTCCACATCACCCCCGACATCCTCCCCAAGCTGACGCCCAAATACGACGTCGAGCTGCACTTCCGCCGCTCCAAGATCCCCGCTGGCAAGATCCTGCCCTCGAACCTGACCGAGGTCGCCCCGCGCCTGCGCGTCCAGCCCTTTGACGCCGGCGAGCGCCTCGTCACCGTCGTCATCGTCGACCCCGACGTCCCCGACACCGAGTCCGACGCCTTCTCCAAGCGCTGCCACTTCCTCGCCGCCAACATTCCCGTCTCGCCGACCGACCCCTCGCTGCCCCTCGGCCGCCTCAACCGCGACGCCCACATCGCCGTCCCCTACCTTCCCGCCTTTGCCCAAAAGGGCGCCCCCTACCACCGCCTCGCCATCTTCATCCTCGATCAGCCAGGCAACAAGCCCCTCGACATTGCCGCCCTGCGCGCGCAGTACAACAAAAAGACCGTCACCGACGAGTCGTCCTCCTCCTCCGCCTCCACCTCCACCTCCTCTTCGTCCGCCGTCGCCGCCCCCGCCCCCGCCACGGGCTTCTCCCTCAAGTCCCTCCGCGACAAGTTCGCCCTGACCCCGACGGGCTTCACCCTCTTCCGCACCGTCTGGGACGAGCACACGGCCGACGTCATGCACCGCGCCGGCGTCCCCGGCGCCGACGTCGAGTTCCGCCCCAACCGCGTCTACAGCATGAAGCCCCCCAAGGCCCCGCGCGGCTGGGAGGCCAAGCGCCAGGGGCCCAAGTACCGCCACCTCTGGAAGTACACCAAGCGCATCCGCGGCCTGTCCAACGCCAAGGGCTGGATCGTCAAGAAGCGCGCCGACGGCAACGGCAAGCGCGGCTGAGAGACGGCTCCCCTCATCGGACGCGGCAGCAGCCTCGACCCGTGCTGAGTGGGGTATTGCTCTGGGTGTGGTGCGGCCAGTCCTGGGCGAGGTGGAAAACTGGAAGCAAAGGGGGGCGGGCGGCAGGGGACACGAGACGAAGAGAGAGAAGAGTGGCGAAGGGTGGTTGTGTAGAACTATGTGTATTTGTGTATCATATGTGCCATCATCTAGGTGTAGATGGAGGCATTCTCGGGAGTGTCGGTATAGAAGACCATTTTTTGCTCAACCATGTTACCGCCGTATTCGCTGGATCAACTGCGGACTCAAAACTCGTGACCTGGTTATCCATCAACATATCAAGTCACAATCATCACCAGCTTCCAAGAATCATGAGTTAATCTTGTATTGTGACGATCAAGCTCACGTACTACTCTAATGCCTGCAACGGACGTGTCCCAGTGTTGAGACGTCCTGCCTCCCAAAACGACGGTATCCTCCATGCTCGCACGCACGCTGTTCATGCTGAGAG